CCCTATCCCTACCCATTGTCCCACGTCACCTGCCACCCACCCATGAACTCCATCTACCCGCCCCTGCCCCCCATTCACCCGGTTTCACCTCCTATGCTATTAAAATATTATTAAGTTGTCTCAAAACATCTTTTTTTAATATTAATTTTCAAATATTAACAACAGAAACTATTTTTTGAAGAATACATTTTTTTCTACCAAACAACGAAAACTATGGTTGGAAAATAATTTTCCTGGGAAATCATTTCCCTTAGAAAATACGGAGTATCCTTCTAGGATCATATTTTTCCTCCAACCAGACGATGGGATGGAGGGAGTACATTCTTGATTCTACTTTGTGATTTCTATGTATAATTGTCAATAGTATAGAATAAAAGTAGCACTGACTCAAAGTCCAAGCTCCCTGGTTTCTACTTCATCCCTCCTAATCCTTTTCTCTTCCCAAGCTCAAAATATGTTGCATTGTCATTATATATACCAACGACCAATAAAGGTACAACAGATTCAATGTCCGAGCTCCCAAGTTTTAACTTCATCTCTCCTTATCCTTTTCTCTTTCCAGGCTCCAAATATGTTGCATTTTCATTATATATGCCGACGACTGTATATTTATACTTTGTAAATCTTGAAACCTGTTTGCTCATGTATATTCATGCTTGAAAAAAGCCCTATGGTAAAGAGCAGTTCGAGGGAGACATAAAAGCTGAAAACTTGACATTAAGTGGCGTTTTTATGTGGCACACATTCATGGGGTGATAATCTGTTTATATAATAAGACCAATTGAACGTGTGACATATAAGAATGTCTCCCTAGAATCTTTACCGTTATAACCTCATTGGATGCATACTTATACTTACCATGTTGCAGTACTAAAAGAAGGCAGAAGAAGAGAATTCGCAGAATCCTCGACGATACTGAATTGGGAGAAGAGACTAAAAGGAAAATTGCAATTGAAAAGGTAAAATAAACTACTGGACTACTGCTGAAATTTACATTAAAAAAAGAGGTATTACTTCATTTTTACCATTACAGGAACGCCAAGAGCGTCTTAAATCGTTGGGGGCACAATTCTCGAGCAAAGCAAGGATGATGAGTTTTGGAGACATGAGTAAAAAGTACTCTGAAAATGGTAATGTTGAAATGCTTGGCGATTCGAAGACAGGATATGTTGTTAATGTGGTGAGAGATGAAGGTGAAGAGGCTGTTAGGATCCCCCCCAGCATGTCGGCAAAATTGAAATCTCACCAGGTTCATTTATCGTTTGTTGCTTTAGTCTTTATCTAGTTCATTCCCATTGTAGTAAAATGAATTCAGATTATTACTGTGCTGGCATCTGAAACTCTGTGTGTCCTTGAAAATCTCTGTGTCTGATTCCTATTTTTATGTGTTTATATAAAATCTATCATTACCTTTATCATCATAAACATTTTTTTTAGTTCCAATAAATGAAATTATTCATTTTCATTAATTCTTGTCATTGAAGAAAGTGAAGTCCTCTAAACATATCCCCATTTGTTTGAATTGCTCCATCTTGTTATCTTTTTCATACATTTATGTGTGTCATGCAACTTCTTTATTTTGTGAATTTGAAAATTTTGTAGATGACGTATTGGATCATTAAGCTACACATATCTGCTTCATGGATCATGCATGTCTTAGAGAATGAGCTCTGGTTTAGTCTTATTTACAATTCTATTAAATAACATATTGTTATTCTTAGTAAAATTTATAATTGTTTTTTAGGATGTAGTATGCTATATTGTATCTTGTCTAAGAATATGTTCATTTTCCTTCCTTTTTTGACACCACACTGCTCACTGCATGAAATTTCCGATGACAGACATCTTGATGTTACTGCAGGTTGCAGGCATTCGATTTATGTGGGAAAATGTAATTCAGTCAATTAAAAACGTGAAGTCTGGAGATAAGGGTCTTGGTTGCATCCTAGCTCATACTATGGGTTTAGGTAAAACTTTTCAGGTATCATTTTTTTGTGCTTTCCAATTTTTTCCAAAATAAATTCCTTTTTTCGCTGTCTATTTTTTTAGCATCACTCCATGGTGGTTGGGAGTAGGAGAAGAGGTAGACCTAGGAGGATTTGGAAGGAGTTAGGATCTAAGACTTCATGCTCTCACTGAGGATATAACCTTAGATAGGAGCATTTGGAGAGTTAGGACTAGGGTAGTCGGGTAGGCACTTTGGACTTTGTGGTTGTTTCTCCACTTGTGTGCACTGTTTTCTTGTATGCTTGATGCTCTTTGGTGATGTGTTTTTGTTCAGTTTAATTAGTTTGTTTTAGGCCTCTGTGTGCTTTTTGTTATCTTTGCTATATATGTATTCTGTGATCTCATTTTTATCTTTGTTGTTTGAGTCGGGGTCTCTTGAAAACAGTCTCTCTACTTATGAGTAGGGGCAAGGTCTGCATACATACACCCTCCCCAGACCCTACTCTCGTGGGATCCAACTGGGTCGTTGTTGTTGTTCTTCTTCTTCTTCTTCTTCTTCCATGGTTCATAATAGGATGTGATTACCCCCATCTCACTACACCTTTTGGCATGACATGAAGTTGAAATTGTTGACTTATGAAAATTATCGTATGCATAGTGACATTGCTCTACTCAATTGATTCTTTTGCTTGATCCTATCCTTCGTTAAAACCTTAATTTGAGAGGATAAAATGATTACTTATACAGAGAACAGAAGGTTTGTAGGCAAATATAGACTATAGAGGGTGTTTCTCTATGCCGGTGCTTATTGGATTATTGTTGATAAGCAATTTTTAGTTTATAAGATATTTATAAGTAAAAAATTTTTTTGTGGAAGTAAAATGACTTAAATGACACACAAGTCACTTGGGGATATTCATAAAAGGCGATGGATTGTTTTGTAAACAATCTGGTCAAAACAGAGAAACAAAAAAACTGGCATAAAAATAAGTAGGTGAGACCAACTAATTTATTCTGGCTTATAAGCTGCTTATAAGGCAGCTTATTAGCACACTGGTAATCTTGGTAATTGAAGTACTTGATTTATCTGCAAAATTTAATTATGTTTTACATATATTAAAATTATAGGAATTGCTCTCAGTTCTGTTTATTTATTAATAATCTTCTCCTCCTCAAACTTTGAAGTTTGTTCACGAATGTTTCATTTTTCAAAACATGTATGGTGCATTGCAACCTTAGTAGACTACTTTGTCCTCTACGTCTTGGAATTGATGTCTTTTTTACTTCCCTAGTTCAAGAGATGGATCTTTACATTCAGATTCATCTTTTAGCAATAATTCAATGCAAAATTTTATTTTGCAGGTAATTGCATTTCTGTATTCTGCAATGCGATGTGTTGATTTAGGGTTAAGAACTGCTCTCATCGTCACACCTGTTAGTGTTCTGCATAATTGGAGGCATGAATTTCTAAAATGGAGGCCAACAGAACTGAAACCTCTTCGTATCTTTATGCTTGAAGATGTTCCAAGGTTCTTCTACTTCAATACCTTATGGAGTCTTTGTTTACATAATTACTCCGTAATTTATAAATAGTCTCTTAGAGTATGTTCTCTTCGTTTGATCTGTTCTGTATTAAGGTCTCTATCTCTCTGATATTAACAATTAAAGTTAAAGTTGTATATCTTTCTGGCATGGTCTCATCTGACCTGATTCCAATATGAATAAGTAATATGCCGTAAGTAATTAGAATAAGTTGAAGAGAACAAACCCTTAGGCAGGATTGGTTGGATATCCATTCGATAGTTTTTTATTTTCTGTTTTTTGTTCACTTTTTCGAGAATGTAAAACAGAAACACTTGGGATAGTACCTAATATATTGTTTCATATGTGATAGCTAGGTAACTATATACAAGAGGGGTGATGAAACCCATGAGATTACCTAAATCAACATCCTAACATATATGAAGTATACAATATTAGTACTCTGTATATACTGCAGAGTAATTAATACAAAAACACAATTCTGAAGTTCACTGAGACACCAGAAACATCGTTTTTTCCCCTGTTTTGGAAAATGTGTTTCCAACTATGACACTGTTCATCAAATGTTTGAATTTTATTACTCCCCCGTCCAAAAATAAGGTTCCACCTTGGAATTGACGTGGTTATTAAGAAAACTTAATATGTGTGGTACTGTGGTCGAGATTTGTGCACTGGAGCGAGACATAATGTGAACCCCACAATTCTTCATTAAAAAGAAAAGTGAACTGTATTTTTGGGCAACACAAAAAAGAAACGTGGAACATTTTTATGAAGCATATGGAGTCTAAACTGTGTATGCAGAACAGACAATTACCAAACATGTTTTATATTTTAAAACATTTTGACAAGAAAAAGAAAGGAGCTTAACCCAAAAAACACTACAACACAATCTCCAAGTGTTTCATAATTCTGTGACCTGCTTTTCATGCCTAATGTTGAATACAAAAAGCAGTAAGCTTAACAAAGAGAAGTCAAGACAACCCCCAAAGTGTTTCATAATTCTGAGACCTACTTTTTATGCCTAAGGAGGTTTTTAATTTGCTGTCCTATGCACAATTGCTATTTATTTGGGATCTTTTTGAGACTTTCAATGAGTACCTTACTGATTTCTAAAACACTCTTAATAAAGTCAAAATTAGTTCATGATCTTGAAGGAAGTCACTTGTGCATTTATTCATTCATCAATCCATTCAAATATTTCTTTCCCCTTTTCAGGGAGAAGAGATCTGAATTGCTGCAGAAATGGAGAACTAAAGGTGGTGTTTTTTTAATTGGCTATGCTGCTTTTCGAAATCTGTCTTTGGGAAAGCATATAAAGGACCGTCAAATTGCAAGAGAAATATGCCAGTCACTCCAGGTACAAGCAAAAATGTTTTCTCGATTCCACATTTATTCTGTTTTTTTATCAATTTCAAGTAGGGGTGGTGTGATGATGTCTAGATACGACTTCCCCCAAACCTTTTACTGGGCCTTTTTTATGTGATGCTGTCTGCATTCCAGTTTCTATGCCTACAGTTCTTCTGATCAGTAAATTAGTTATTTATGAGTGATTTGTGTCAGAGAGTGCATTAAGATCATGTGAGTGAAACGATTCAATGACTATAGAGTTTGGCTGGTTAGTAGTTAACCTTATATCTGGGAACTTAGCAAAGGGAACTCCTGATCTTCCCATCTGATGTGGAATACAAAAAAAGTGGAAGTTTGAAGCTAGTACATTGGTGCTAGTGAGTTTAATTGGAAAATCATGGGTGTACTCCAGGGGGACTTCCACCACATGGAATGAATTAATGGAAAACACAAAAGAAAAGAGTAAATTCCATAATTAGTCCTTTATAACAGGGGAGTTTCTCTATTTAGTCCTCTATTATCAAATATTACCCCAGTGGTCCTTCTTTTATGAATATCTTTCCACAAATAGTCCTTTTTTTATCTTCTATCATGTTAGAGTTAATTTGAGGGCTAAAAGTGTAATTTCACAATGATAATGTATCTTTTTTTGTCATACACAATTTCAAAGGTTGTTCTGTTTGCGTCGTTTGTGAATTATATTTGCTTTCTACTACAACCATAGTCTACAAATATGGTCTTCCATCGGAATCCTAACCCACAATCATAGTCATTATTTTTGTGTTATCCGCTTAACCAGTATCAGAACACGTCACTAGACATAATGTTGATGTCAAATTATACTTTTAGCCTTTAAATTAACACCCACATGTAGGAAGATAAAAAAATGACCATTTGTGGAAAGGCACCCTTAAAAAAAGGACTTCAAGGGTAATATTTGATAATAGAGGACTAAATGTGGGAACTCCCCTGTTATAAAGGACCAAGTATGGAATTTACTCAAAAGAAAACAATAAAAACTGCACCAACATGGTGGCCAATAAGGTATTTGAAACTTTTTTATATGGTTCATGACACGGTCAATGTTGCTGGCCCCTTGTATTACAGACCACTGTATTTGAAACTTTTTTTTGTCTAGGTAAAGTTTGCACTTCAATCTTCACTACCACACCCAACTCTTGTGTCCTGCTGTTGAACTTGCCCTCCTTGTACTTTGTTTTGGTCGGTTGGTCCTGCTCAATCTGAATCCTTCAGATTCAAAAGTAGCTATGCAAACTTCCAATCTATTGTTAACCCGACTAAGGGACTTGTCAATCAAAACTATGTCATTCACAAGTGGCATGTACCAATGCATATCCTCCTGGTGCTTATGCATCTTTTTTCTGTTAAAGATTTTCAATAAGTGCACTGGTATAACAGTCCATTTTCTTCCCCTTTTGGGTTTCTTATTCTGAGATTGTCAAAATCCACATGTAATTGCTAGGATGGGCCGGATATACTAGTGTGCGATGAAGCTCATATCATAAAAAATACCAGGGCTGATGTCACACAAGCCTTGAAACAAGTAAAATGTCAGAGACGAATTGCTTTAACTGGGTCTCCTCTACAGAACAACTTGATGGAGTACTATTGTGTAAGGCTACATAAAGCTGCACTCAATTTTCTTAGTAAATGACCTGGTATCTATTTATTTACTTATCTCTTTTTTTGTTATAGATGGTAGATTTTGTTAGAGAAGGATTTCTTGGAAGCAGCCATGAATTTGGAAATCGGTAAGAGTTGCTTTGTGTGCCTTTCTTCTTTATCTTTTTGCCAATAAGTCTGTCACGTCCATCTTAAACATTTGTGTAGATTTCAGAATCCTATAGAAAATGGTCAACACGCCAATTCTACTGATGAGGATGTGAAGATTATGAACCAAAGGTCTCATATTCTCTATGAACAATTAAAAGGATTTGTGCAGAGGATGGATATGAGTGTTGTGAAGAAAGATTTGCCACCAAAAATTGTCTTTGTAGTGTCTGTTAAGCTTTCTCCTTTACAGAGAAAATTATACAAAAGGTTTCTTGATGTGCATGGTTTCACGAAGGATAAGGTTACTGGTGAAAAGATAAGAAAAAGATCTTTTTTCGCAGGATATCAAGCCTTAGCTCAGGTACATTATCTCATTTTGTGATTATAATGTATGAACTAAGTAATACATTTGCATTTTTCTATTGGAGAGCTTAGTACCATGCAACACCAAAGCAACTTTTATTTCAAGAGTCCAAGTCTCTCTGCAGTTTTCAATTCACAGAAGACAGATGTTGAAAAGTAAAAACAAATGGAAATTACTTGGGTTACTTGGCCATGAAAGTATAGGCAGTAACTAAACCAAACTTCACTAGATATTAGGAAACTTGTCTAGGGAAATGGGAAGCCCATTGTTTAAAGTCACATGCTGCATATGAGTTTGTGCTTGTAATATGGATAGATCACAGCTGAAGTAATGGCTGGTTGTAGATATGGAACCATCCTGGGATATTGCAACTAATGAAAGAAAACAGAGATGCTACTAAGCGTGAAGATACTGTTGAAAATTTCATTGTCGAGGATTGCTCAAGTGATGAGAACACAGACAATAATGTGATTCCTTCAGGTGCTTTCTAGTTTCTATATTGCATGAAGTAGTGCTTTGCTTATTTATCCTTTTCTTTTTCTTTTTGGTATCTTTCCACATTTTAATCAGATTACAATATTATACGAGTACATTGTTTTCATTTGAAACACCCAGTAAAAATGTATATGGAGGCCTAATAATTGACATTGTATTGCAAGTTTTTCTTATTAGCATGTATTTGTGGAAGTATGGGTTACATAGGCCGTGCTTTATCCGGCAAAGATTTGTTAGTTTTATGCAATGTTTCATATTTCCCCTAGCTTTTCTGTCATTGCAGTTATTTACTGTTTTTTTGTGTGCAGAAAAGCCAAATCAAAACAATGATTTACCACTCAGAAAAGATGCCACCGGCTTCCTTCACGGGGTGTGTTTATATTTCTTCCAACTCTTTTTAACACTTTCTATAATTGCTTGATTGTCTTCTGAATACCTTGTTTTCAGTTAGCCATGTCATTTTGGATTTGAATGTTGTCTTTATTCTTAATGGTAGGTCTCTAGATTTTTATATCACTGATTATTTCTTTTTTTGCAAATTTCTCTTCTCATGCACACATTTCTTTGAGTAAGTGTAGTGTGTGAATAATCTTGTACACATACTCTTTCTTTTTCCTTTTGTCTTGCTAGGACTGGTGGAGTGATCTTCTAAAAGAAAATAGTTACAAGGAGGTCGATTATAGTGGTAAAATGGTTCTGCTTCTTGATATCCTGTCTATGTGCTCTAATGCTGGTGACAAAGTACTAGTCTTTAGCCAGAATTTGGCAACACTGGACCTGATTGAGCTCTACCTTTCAAGATTGCCACGACCTGGGAAAAAGGGAAAGCTTTGGAAGCAAGGGAAAGACTGGTTCAGGTGTGTACTGCTTTAAGTTTTGAATTTGATGCTTAATTATAGAATTTGGGTGTTTACTTTCTTGGTCGGTTATCTAGGCAATAGCCGATTAGCCGTCTCTTTTTTTATTGCTTTATGAACCTGTATGGTACTGAAATGAACCTGTTTGGTACTAGTAATTGTTTTTTTTTTTTTCAGTTAGACCTTGCAGGGATATGTTTAGATTGCAATCACACTTAATGATTTTTTGACCTTTTGCATCTTGTTAAAAACAGATTAGATGGAAGAACAGAACCTTCCCAAAGACAGAAAATTGTTGAGAGGTTTAATGAGCCATTGAATAGAAGGGTGAAATGCACTTTGATATCAACCAAAGCTGGATCTCTCGGTATCAACCTCCATGCTGCTAACCGAGTGATTATTGTTGATGGATCATGGAACCCAACTTATGATCTTCAAGCTATATATAGGGCTTGGAGGTGTGGTTTGTCAGGTTTTTTTAAAATAGATGATTCAAGTATGGCACAAATATACATATAATGACCTGATACTTAANCTTGTTAAAAACAGATTAGATGGAAGAACAGAACCTTCCCAAAGACAGAAAATTGTTGAGAGGTTTAATGAGCCATTGAATAGAAGGGTGAAATGCACTTTGATATCAACCAAAGCTGGATCTCTCGGTATCAACCTCCATGCTGCTAACCGAGTGATTATTGTTGATGGATCATGGAACCCAACTTATGATCTTCAAGCTATATATAGGGCTTGGAGGTGTGGTTTGTCAGGTTTTTTTAAAATAGATGATTCAAGTATGGCACAAATATACATATAATGACCTGATACTTAACCAATTATAGGTATGGACAAACAAAACCTGTTTTTGCGTACCGGTTGCTGGCACATGGAACGATGGAGGAAAAAATATATAAGCGTCAGGTTTGATGAGAATTCAAATTACTTATAGCCTTGTATCTGTCACTATGGTTGGATGATGGAATTGAATGGAGGACTAGTTGTGCAACAGGTTACGAAGGAAGGCCTGGCTGCAAGGGTAGTTGATCGGCAGCAAGTGCATCGAACCATGTCAAGAGAAGAGATGCTGCATCTGTTTGAATTTGGAGATGATGATGGTGCTGATGTCATCTCAGAATTGGGAGGAAATTTAGGTGAATTACGGACTAATGACGGTGTTGGTAGCTTTTTGAAACAAAAAATGCCTCTTCCCAAAGGAGGTGTGTCTTCTGACAAGTTTATGCAGACGTTGATTGAAAGACACCATCCAAGGTTGGTTCTCCTAACTCCACCTTTATGTACCTAATGTTTTTTTTCGCGAGACCAAATCAAGAGTTACTTCTGTTAACTGTTCTTATATCTTTTTGTTTATTGAGGCAGAATATATGTTTCCTCCAGTCCCTGTTAATAATCAAGTCCATGCTTACTAGTTAATAATTTTTCATTTTCACGTTCTTTTTAACCATGTCTGCTTAAAGAGTATATGATCTTCAAAACCATTATTAGAATTCACTATCCACTTAACTCTAACTCTGTCTAGTTTTTGTCCCTGTTTGAATATGTGATTTTCTCATGGAAAAAAATTGCACTCTTGTTTTCAGTCATTTCCTTGAGCAGTGAAATTTATATTTTTGAGGGATTACTAAAATGTCAAATGGATGAATGCTGTTTGTTTAGTTGGATTGCACATTACCACGAGCACGAGACAATGTTGCAAGAGAATGAGGAGGAGAAACTGACGAAGGAGGAGCAAGAAATGGCTTGGGAGGTGTTCAAGAGAAGTCTTGAGTGGGAGGAGGTCCATCGGGTCTCACATGCTGAATCAGCAGCACCGGTGGTCATGTCAAACCACCACCACCACCACGAAGTACCACCCCCAGTGGTGGTGCATGACAGCGTTAAGCTCAGGCGGGCCATTCAGACTGCAAGAAACCGTGTGGTGGTTAGGAAATGCACAAACCTCTCACATTTGCTCACACTTAGAAGCCAAGGAACCAAAGCGGGTTGCAGCACTGTGTGTGGAGAGTGCGCTCATGAAATTAGTTGGGACAACCTTAATACTGATGGCAAGTCCACGAAATGATGGTCAGTGCTGATCTATTTTTGGCTTTTTTTGGGGGGGGGGCATGTTAACATTGATTTGTTATCATTAGTATGGCACCCCTGTTCTTTTTCTCTATGTAAATGCTCATCGGTTTTTGGCTCAAGGGTGTGGTTGGGGGTTTTTCGGTAGGGAATGAATGGGAGGATCACTTTTTGTTTCCCCAATTTGTCTTTGTTTGTTAGTCATAGGCTAGAAAATGACTATTTGTAGTTATCATACAATTTACTATATTCATTTTATTTCAAATCATCTGAATGTGAAAAGAAATTAATGATATAATTGCCATACGTCTCCTGTCCTTGGCGCATTTTGTGTGTACAGACTCATCGGCCAAATTAAGAGTATGTGTAATATTGATGTAATTGCCTCTCTTTTTCCCTAGCACGCAGAGTATATATTATAGTCAAGGTTTTGTTGACACTAGAATCCTATGTCAACGGTGCTCCAAATGTAAAATTGATGGTTTTCACGCCCTCATTAAACCCCCTACCGTACCCCGGCATCTGCACCTCCAACCTAGCTACACTGGCCCACTCCAAATGTGCGTCTATTAATCTTTTATGCAATGCATAATAGCCACACATTTGGGGGGCAAGGGGTAGTGTGGGGCTGGGATGAGGGGTTTAAGAGGGGTTAGGTGGGATATAAACCATCAATTTTGCAAATGGAGCACTAGATATGCTCTAAATGGATGTGTGTCATCTGTTGACATTGAATTCTACTGTCAAGGGAACCTTGCCGATATTATAGTTTGGAAAATGTGACGCACTTCTAGTGAATATAGTATACCTTTTGTCTCTTTAGGGAATAATGAGTTCTTGCCGTGTATTGTGGGAATGAGCTGCTAAATACTACTCCCTCCGTCCCAAATTATAATGCCTGTTCACTATTCACAGGGTCAAACTTCATTCACTTTCTTTCTCTATTTTCGTTAGCAATTTGATAAAATAAAATATTATTGTCACTACTAGTTTTGTAGATCTTTTGATGTAGTTTTTTAATATGTAATTTTTATTTTATAATTTTATACCATTTGTCATATAAAATGGTTTGAAAATAATTTCAGTCAAACATCGTAAACCAAAACAGGCGTTATAAAATGGGACAGAGGGAGTAACATTTTTAGCAATGAATTCAACTACTCCCTCCGTCCTAATTCTTTCTTCCCAGTTTGACTTTTCCTCATTTTTAATTTTTGGCTTTGACTTCAAATTTTACCCTCTTTAAAAAAGATTTTTTGAAAATTTGTTTTTACAATCATTCAAAATATAGAGTTAGAAGATAATTGGTGCAAAAACATGAGGGTATTAATGTCATTTCTTATCTTTTTTTTCCTAATGGGAAGGTAGTTTTAGGACGGAGAAAAAAGGGAAGTGGGAAGAAAGTTTTAGGACAGAGGGAGTAACATTTTTTATTCCCACATGATTTTGCAAATGCTGCCTCCATCACAAATTAAATTGTTTGTTTATTATTCATATGATCAAATTTTATTCATTTTTTTATTTTAATTAGTCATTTGATAAAATAATATATTTATATAACATGTGTTGAGAACAAAGTAGGGTGAGCAGAGTATGGTTAGAGATGCAATTTATTTCGTATTGATGTTGTATTTGCATATTTTGATTTTATATGAGATTTTATGTCATCAATCTCAATTTCAAATTATCGGTTTGAGATGGTTCCAAATGAGTTCGTATTGATTTTGCAAGAGTTTGTGTGGTTCGTGACAGTTTGAGATTTTCGCATTTTTTTAATTCCAACGGTTTGGTATGATTTTGTGACAAAAATCGTTCAGTACCATGTCATACCAATTACAAACAATAACAAAGTTTTTAAAGGGTTGATAAATGGTTTTGTTATTAAAAAAACTAATCAATGAAAGTAAAAATGCTTGATATGCCAATATGTTTTTATATCCTTACTCAAGAAATGTATTTTTTTAATCCATTTTTTTGTTAAAAAAACTTATTGTAAGTAAAAAATTTGCACCAAAGAAGGAAGAATTATGGAGTAAAAATATTTAAAAAAAAGCAAATGTAATAAATGTATATTTAATTTATTACTTTAACATTTTATGAGTAACGGTCCGGTTTGAGATTTTTCGATTCTTGCTTTTTAAGAACCTGTATTGTACTATTTTAAAAACGGTTTGGTTTGGTACATGATACGGACTATGTCGTATAATTTATCAGAATCATTAGAAAATCCATTTTTTGGTATGGTACCATGTTCAGTTTGGAACAATATCGTGTTGGTATTATTGTCCGAGTCATGCTACTTGGTATACCCTATTTGTACACCAACAATTATCACCATTCATTTTTTATGCATTTATCAATTTTTTAATCTACACTCATATTGTATGTTTGAGATACAATGGGATACACCATTTGGTGTACCGCTAGCATTTTTCTTATTGGTCACCCCTACGATTTTTGTATAAATTGGGATAAATGTTTATATATCTATTGTATATTTAAAAATGTAATAAAATTAATTTTATATGCTTTTAAAAACTCAAGCGCAATTGACCAGTTAACTAAATATGGAGTACACAATGAAGAATTGGTATTTTCAATAATCATAATGTGTAAATACATGGGAATATATATAGTAGAGCTTTCCTAGTTACATTAGGAAACCTACTATGTTAGGAATCCTTAATTAATAAGGACTATACAAGTATGGAAACTTCTATATACAAAAGATACTAAATATATACAGAATATATTTAACATTCTCCCAACGGCACTTGTGACGATCGCCGAACCCCTAGGCACTCCCGGAATTCTGAAAAGATGATGGATGGAAGACCCTTCGTGAAAATATCAGCATACTGGAGAGACGAAGGGACGTGAAGGACACGGACCTGTCCGAGAGCCACTCGATCTCTAACAAAATGTATGTCAACTTCGATGTGCTTCGTGCGCTGATGCTTAACAGGATTTGCAGAGAGATAGACAGCACTCACATTATCACAAAAAACAAGAGTCGAGCGGCTAAGTGGTTGCTGGAGTTCTAACAGAAGATTCCGTATCCAGCTGACTTCGGCTACGGCATTTGCTACGGCCCGATATTCTGCCTCGGCACTAGATCTGGACGTGGTGAGTTGGCGCTTAGAAGACCACGAAATGAGATTATCACCAAGGAAGATGCAGTAGCCGGATGTGGACCTGCGTGTGTCGGGGCAGCCAGCCCAGTCGGCATCTGAGTAGGCCCGCATCTGGTCCGTGTGAGAAGGAGAGATGGAGATGCCGTGTGATGGTGTGCCATGGAGGTATCGCAGGACCCGCTTCATGGCCGTGACATGAGGCGTGCGTGGAGCATGAAGAAAAAGACAGAGCTGCTGGACGGCATATGTAATGTCGGGACGAGTGAAAGTGAGATACTGTAGGGCCCCCACAATAGAGCGGTACATGGATGGGTCGGGCGCAGGGGATCCTCCTGAGGCAGATAGTTTCCCTCGTGTATCAACCGGGGTGGATACCGGTTTGCAGTTAAGCATACCCGCTCGATCAAGGATGTCATAGAGAAACTGAGTCTGTGTAAGGAACAAGCCACGGGAGGTGCGCTGGACATTAATCCCAAGGAAAAAGTGTAGGTCTCCCATATCTGTCATAGCAAACTCACCCTTCAACCGCTGTATGACCCGCTGTAGGAGCTCTTGCGAGGAAGCCGTGAGAATAATGTCATCAACATACAGAAGTAGGAACGCCATCTGAGACCCCTGGCCATAAGTGAACAGGGAGGTGTCGCTCTTGCACCCGCGGAAGCCAAGCGTAAGAAGAAAGCCAGTGAAACGCTGATACCAAGACCGCGGTGCTTGCTTCAGTCCATAGAGCGCCTTGTTCAGTTTGCACACATAGTGGGGTCGGGCAGGGTCCTGAAATCCAGATGGCTGGGCCGTGTATACCGTCTCTGTGAGAGCGCCATGTAGGAAGGCATTCTTGACGTCGAGCTGGTGAATCGGCCATCCTCGTGATACGGCCAAGCTAAGAATAATCCGAATGGTTGCCGGTTTGACCACCGGGCTGAATGTCTCATCATAATCTATGCCATGACGCTGATTGAATCCTCGAACAACCCATCTGGCTTTGTACCTGGACAGTTCACCTGTAGGGCTAAGTTTGTGTCTAAAAAGCCATTTACCGGAGATAACATTTTGGTTAGGGGAGGGAGGTACTAAATCCCATGTATTATTAGCAATCAAAGCATTATATTCATCTAACATAGCATTGTACCAATTGTGATCTTTAAGTGCACTACGGTAGGTGGGGGGAATGGGGGAGATGCTAGCAACGGTGTTTAGATTTAGGACGCGTTTGGGGCAAAAGATCCCGGCCTTAGCGCGGGTGGTCAT